CGAGGAGAGCGAGGCGCTGCCGGGGAAGGGACGGTCCCCGCCTGCTCTCACCCCTCTCTGGGGTGCGGAATTGTCGCTGCTTTTCAGAGGAAAGGATGGAGATTAAGAAAACCGCAACTGGGTTTAGCCCTTCCTCCCTTACCCCTACTAAACCCTCATGTACCCCATCATCCCAACAACAAACCTCGGAAAACCCTCTTTTCCTCGGTTTGTCTGGTTTTTATTTTGGCAAACGCCCCCCCGTGTGCTGGACATGACCCCAGACCCAGCTCAGGTTCACGTGTGCGATTGAGCTCTCGGACTCTGCCTGGGCGCTTCATGCCCCGAGCCCTGCGTGGAACGCGCTAAATATTTAAGTGATTGGTAAAGACAGTCGTCACAAACCTGCCAGTCATTGTCTTAAGCACCCCGTCCCAGAGGTGGGGAAGGTCAGACAGAATCATTTTCAGGAGGGCTCGGACTCCTCAGACGTTTCTTGACCTTTGGGTGCTCCTCTTTTCTCTGAGCCTTGCCTAATGCAATGAACAATAATCACAGAGTAACATTCACGGACATTAAACCATAAACCCACCCTACCGAAGCACAGTGGCACTCCCGGGGATTATTAGCATTTGGGTTAAAGATTTTTGGGGCAGTGGCAATTGGAATTTGTGTGGATGTACTGGCCAACTGGTGATGTTTATCTCCTGCAGATTTAAGTAGGTGAGCTTACCTTTTGGATGAGGAGTAAATAATTAAATTTAAGGGAAGGCGTTATAAAGATGTCAGTAAAAGAAAAAATATCTGAAAAGTAGAAGGGAAAAGGGCAGAATAGTTTAATGTATTGGTTAAGTAAATGCAAAACAGTTCAAGCAATGATAAGTTTGGAGTCATGCAAAGTCAGGCAATTAATAGATAGAATTTTTATATTCACCTATGCATGAGTGAGCTGGCACCAATATAAATGCATGGAGCAGAGCATGGAAGGTGCTGAGGAAGCTCTGAAGTTGGGCAGATTTCTGTGTGGCAAACACCCAGCCCAGGGCACACCAGAGGACTGGGAATCCTCCCTTGGGATCCTTCCCTCCATGCCAGACCCTGAATTGAGTCACTGTTCCATCCAAAGACAGTGAAATGTTATATTTACAGCACATTGCTTTCCAAAGCAACCAACAGCCAAGCAACAGACCTGTGCCCTGTGAGGGGAAACTCAGGAAATAAAGGACAAGGAGGCAGCTCCAGAGGAATGTCTGGGAGCTGCCCATGGATTGAAAAGCCATTTGAGCCAGCAGAGATTCACTCCAATCCAGAGGTCTGGAGATTCACTGCAGCCTTGGCGGTAACTGGAAGTGCCAAGGGTGGGAGCTGCTTGTCTGGGAGCAGAGATAAGAGAGCTGGGAGAGCCAGGGAGAGCTGGCATTGCCCCTGCTGCCATTGCCAGGAGCATGAAAAGTAAAACCAGGGACTCTCACTCACCCTGTTGGAACCCTGGATGATGAGAATTTTAAATTTTCTGTGTTGAAAGGCACTGAACCTCAGGAGAACACTACATTTGACCTGACGCCATGGAGAGGGCTTCCAAAATTGATAAATCTGGGATTGTGGGTGTGGAGTTTGAATAGAAGTGTGTAATATCACATGGTGGAAAACTTAAAGTTTAAGGTTTTAAAGTACAGCGACTAGGCCTGATCAAGAAGAGTTTAATGTAGGGCGTGAAAGTTTGAGTATTGGGAAGTATAGAATATATTGCTATAGTATAGCAATATATAGAGAGCTAAGATGGAGATTTTAGGATGGCTGATACTTTTTCTTCACCTTCTTCTCCATGGGTTTGGGTGGTATCTTGTAACTGTCCACATTGTGAGACATGGGGGATTAGTTTGAGGCCATAATATGGAAAGCATTAAACGGTTTTAATTCTTCACAGAATCATGCACGAAATTCGTCTTCTACTAGCAAGCCAGTTGATGGCAAAGCCCAAGTGCAGCAGCATCCCCAGAGCTGCTCCACAGCTGCAAAATAAAATAAAATGTGTTCCTGTTAATAGTAATAATAACATGGCACTAGCTAAATCTATTTGAGGATAGGGTTTGCCTCAAGTAAAGTGTAAATAGACAAAATCAATCGTGCCTCACATCTCACTGGGCTATGAAATGGGGCAAATGTCGTGGCACTTAAGTCTGCACCAAACAAAAATAAAGACAGAGAAGCCCAGTGTGGTCCTCTCTGCATCTCACAAAACTGCTCTTTATTTTGGGATTTCCTGCTGAAAATCAAGGGGCCTTTTCATCAGACCCTCTGCTTGATGTGAGAATGAGACAGCAACACTGCTGGAAACACTGGAAAAAAATTTATTCTCTCTAGGCTGGTACCAATCACATATTTAAAAACGCACATTAAATAAATAATATTGTCTGAAACCAAGTGTGAGAGAAGCCCCTCAGAATATTTACCTCAGGCATTGTGTGAAGGAGTCAGGAGGAACAGCAGGTGCGTTCTGCCAATCCCAAATGTAACTTGTTACCTGATTCCTGAGTGTTCTCCCTCAAGACACACCCACCATCCCAAACCCAGCTCCAGAGTCTGGTGGCAGGCTCAGAAGATTCCCAACCCTACACTAAATGTCATTTAAGACACATGAAATACTCAGGACAAAAGAACAGATTGGCCAGGTTTTCTGTGGAGGAAATTAATTTGCTTGCAATTGCCAGCACATATCCCATCAGCAGAGCTCGTTAATAAAGATGCTGTAATTTTCTGAATAGGTAGATATGCAAAAAAGGGGAATGTATTTGAATATCAAGAACCACAATTTGATATGGACTAAAAAAAAAAAATTAATAGAATAAGCTTATGAGAATCTGGTTTGGTCCTGGACAAATTAAGTGGCTAAATTAATTGATATAATGCCATCTAAATTTTGAAATTATGCCCTGCTTCATGATTTTGCAGCATTTTCCTTAACTTTTGAATTTTTAGAGTATTTAAGTTATACCAGCTGAAATGCAGCTTGAGAAGCACTGAGCTGCTTTGGGAGAGTGAATTCATAGGAAAAGATTTGGACCATTAAAGGAAAAACTCAGATGAGAAAGAGGATGATGCACATCCTGCTAATGGTTTATTAAACACAGATCTGATTGTAAACATACCTCATCAACACTCAGCTTTGAAATGCTGAAAGTTGGATGAGCTCTGACCAGAGAGAAACTCCAGACATGCCAGAAAATTCTCATCCATCCCTTCCTAATGAGAGTCCAGGAGAAATTCACATGGTCAAAGGACAGCAAATTTAAAGAGAATTAAAGGAACTACCACTTTGCACTGTTCAAAGCAATCCCAGGAATTCAGGCTTTGAAGAACCTGGAGTGAAATGTTGGGATTTCATTTTTTTTTCTCCTAATCTGATTTTTTTTAAGGCTGGATAATTTTACGACTGCTAATAACATTTGTAACTATGCTAGCTAAGATAATAACAATGGTAATCAAATCTCATGCTTGAGGGCATAAATTGATTGCTTGGAGGGGTTATGGAGAATTTTCTGGTTTTCCCACCACTGAGTCCATGATTTCACAACTGACTAAGTGCATTACAAGGGGGGAATTTGCTGCTGCAGCCAGACAATTGATCTGATTTGTAATAACAAATCTGACACCAAAATACAGCGAGCTGCCTGTCTGCTGTGCAAACACCAAGAGATTTAGGCTCAAATTCAGGGAAATATTTGGTTCTTATTTTCCAGTTGGTTTCCTACAGTCCTCCTGTAAGAAAGCAGCAAATCTAGGTGGAAAACAAATCCAGAAAAACCAAACAACTCCACAACATTTAAGAGCAGGAAGGTAGCAGTGCATCTGAGAGATCATTTAGGCAAGGGGGCTCATCCACAGGTTCAGGGCCAAAGATCAGGATGGAAAACAATTCACAGAGTGGGCTGACTCGTGTATCCCATGGCCAAGCGCATATTTCCATATGTTTCCATCAGAAAAGGAGGTCGTGGTCTCTTTTCCTTGAAAAACAGGCACAGCAGGAGATGAGAGCTCAGCCTGGGATGGGGATTTAGGTTTAATTCCCAGCTGGAGCAGCAAGCTCCACACAAGTTTGTACTGTGCTTCAGGACAGACAGACCGAGCTCTGGAGAGCATTTCATCCAGCAGAAACTGGGGAACTGAAGAAACAGCAGGATTGAAGGTTCCCTTGAGCCAAGCTGGGGCAAAACTGGGCCTCACTCTTGTTACAGAATTTATGGAAGGATGGTTTGAGCTCCAGTGATGCCACAACAGAGTATTCCTGATTTGCCGTAGAATCTCAGAGTGGTTTGGGTTGGAAGGGACTTAGAGCTCATCCAGTCCACGGACAGGGACATTTTCACTATCCCAGGATGCTCCAAGCTCTGTCTAACCTGATTTTAGACATTTCCAGGGATCCGGGGGCAGCCACAGCTTCTCTGGGCACCCTCCAGATCCTCCCATGGAAGGATGGAGAGCAGCCCCTGTCCAGGGCTCTGCCATGCAGAGGAATGAGGACATTTATTAGGAAAAGCGAGTGCAGCTCACAAAAACAGCTGTGTGAAAACACATCTTTGGTCCCTGCAAGAGCTGGCACAAAGCCCAGGAGGAGGAAGCTGCAATATTTAGAGAAATGGAAGCGTGACTCACGTCAGGACAGCGGCATCGACCTCGTTCGTTTGTGGAAGAGATTAAAGGGGCCCAGGAATAAAGATTTCCTATTGCTCAACAAAAGCTGCTGCTCGCTGGACAAACCCTCAGCAGAGAGGTCCTGCAGTTGCTGTGATCCCTGCCCAGTGTGGAGGTGGGATTTGGAGAGTGCAGCCTGTGCCTGGGCAATCCATGAGCACAGTGATGTTTTTGCAGTGATGGGGATGAGACCCATTGCTCACCAACTGCTGAATAAAATGCTTTGTGGCAATTTTTCTTTTCTCTTTCTTCCTGTCAAGGTCAACTGACGTAAATTCCACAAAATTTCTGCTGCAAAACCCCCTATACTGTTAAATCACACACAAAAAAATAAAGGCAAGGATTGTAAAGAAACGGTTTGTGCAGGTTTTTAGCTGAGAATCAAACCTGTTTGGACTGCAGTAACAGCAGCCATTTACAGAATTACTGCAGCTGCCCTTGAACCCCAGCAGTCACAGTTCTGAACACAAACAGCTAAACCAGAATTACCAGGCACCCCCTCCCCAATTGGACAGGATGATTGCTTTGGGCTTAATTTGCTTTTCATGAGAGAAGAGGAAATGGGAGAGGGACACGCAGTGGAAAGGGACACACAGTGGGCTTGGCTAATGCTGCCATTTCTATTCCCCCATTTTTTACACCCATGGAGCTGATTTTATGACAATGACCTGCATTAAAACCCACATAAAAGCCCCCAAAACAATAGATGGGTGTTTGCTGAAGCAGTTGGTGCTGCCTGTGCTCCTGTACCAATTTAATGTGACCGGTGGCTCGCAGGGTGTTCAATAGGTC